TAAAAATTCTTGAATCAGGATGCATTTACTTGACAAGTAAAATGATTTAAGATATTTTGTCTTATTTTCTGAAAAAATATAAAAATTTTGTTATTTTTTGCTTAAAACGAGCAAAAATATCTACCAATGGTGTAAGAAAAATAATATCAACTCAAAGGTTTAACAAGATTATTTTTCTTGCCCCACTGGCAGATATTTTTACTTGTTTTAAGCAAAAACTAAATTTTTTCAGAAATCAAGACAAGTCATTTTACTTGTCAAGTAAGCATCTTAATTCCAGAATTTGAAGACATTTACACTAGAAAACAAGACAAATACTAAGAAAGAAAACCATTTTTTGCAGTGAGGAAAGTCAAGGAATTACAGAGACTCAATCAAGTCACTACGACTTGAACCTGGGCTACCTTAAGATCGCCAAGTGGAACGGTTCCCCTGCACTTGTGCACAGTAATAAGACACTGAACCGTTCGGAAACGTTCCTCTATTTGGCATGAGAAAAGCCGAGGTGGCTCACATCACCAGAGAAGCCCCAGACACGCAGATGACACCGGTCGCATCCGTGCTCTTCTCCGCTACCTCTGAACAATGTCACTGATCTCCTTGACGGAGGAAAGCAGCTTTGAAAAGTCTTGAGGCGTGTTGGCTCCCCCGGTGGCGGCGGGGCAGATCTGCAGCTCGCGCAGGCTGCTCTCCAACTTATTGATGGCTTCGCGGAAAGCAAACTTGTTGCGCATCTGCTGGATGGACTCGACGTAGGTCGCGCAATACTTGGACAGATTCTTGCCGGCTTCCAGCACCGCGCTATGGCTGCCGGTCTGCTCCGTAATGCGGCCGATGGCGGCTCGCAGGAGCTCGGTGCTCTCCAAGAGCATCTCGCGCGTGATGCAGGAGTTGGAGAGCCGCTCCGACGGCTGGCGCGTCTTCCTTAGTGAGCGGCGAGTCGTCATGAGGGGAATGAAATTGGATCCCGGATCACCGGCAGCCGATCCGGTTCCCATTCCTGGCAGCTGACTGCTTGGGGATATAGAAGTCGTCTTTGGGGGCTGCACTTTTGAGGTGTTTTTTGGTACATTCTTAGCACATTCTTGGGAAAGACTCATGCCTTTGCCTTGTTCTGCGGATCCGGAACTTGGAGGGTTGTGTTCAGACGAGCCTTTGGCTTTGGTATCTGAAGAAACGTCAAAAGTGGGACTCCTCGAAGTCTTTCCGGATTTGCCGCTCGAGACCGGAGGCGGAGGAGGAGCTGGTTTGGGTTTGGCGAACTTCCCCTTCTCTCGGTCTCTTTGTACAGGGACTTCGGAAGAGTTCTTGAGCCTACGAGGTCTGCATTCGTCTCCTGGAAGAGGAAGCACATTGGGTTTGAACAGCTCTGCTTGCAAGGCGCTCGTTTTGGAGCTTTCCGTCCGATGGCTGAGCTTCGGTGTCCGAGTCAAAGGACTTGATCCAGGACTAGACTCCGAGTCCTTAAACACTTCGTCTGGTGCATCCGAGTCGGTTTTCTTGGGAAGGCGCGGTGGCGGAGTAAGGGTGCCACCACGGGGCACACAATCGGCTTTCTTGCGAGGCAGAGCTGGCTTTCCTCCAAAGGTTCCCGAGTCGAAGTGAGACAACTGGATATCACGGGGCAAGGTGACCGACTTCCACTCGGTGCGCTCGGACCCCGGAAGCATGCTAGAGGTGGAAGAAGACCTTAAGAAGCGCTTGGAGTTTGACATGGGGTCTTCTTCTGCAGGTGGAGTCGTGGCAAGCTTCCCTCCGCCGGCCGATGTTGTCCCCTTTTTCCGTGAATGAGATGGAAAGAGCTGACCGGGAAAAACCATGGCTCCATTGGTGACTCCGACAATCGTTGTACTGTTGGAGCCGACCAATTTAGAAGGGTCGATGCCGTCGTTAGTGGAAGCGCCATTGTTAAAATCATCTCTGCATTCGGAAGCCAGTCCTCTACGATCCAGTTGCCCATCCATCTTCCCGAAGGAGCTGCTGCGTTTAGGCGGTGCCGGAGCCGTTCTCTTCTTTTTCTTGATTAAACTGAACGGATTCATTCGGAACTTATCTTTATCTTTGGCTAGGAGGCGATCGTCTTCGTTTAAGTTGCTATCAAGGACAGGCCTCGGGAGCATCGGGGGCCCAGTTACCTCGGCCTCTGCTGCGTCTGGAAAAGGTACAGCTTCATCAGTCTGCAGAAAAGCAGCTCAGAATTCACTGTGAATGTTGGGAGAGCGCAGCTTACCGGGACTGTCGCCATCCCTGCTGTCCGTATGTCTTCGCAGTGTCCTCGTCTTAGTGGGAAGTTCTGGAGCCTGCTGTATCGGACTCAGTGTCAGCTTCTTACCCTTTTTGCCCAACTCTTTCTCCACCTCTGCAACCCATTAAAAGTGAAGATGAGCCACAAGAAAGTACACATTAATTTCTCTAAATCTCCAGAGATAGAGTCTCACCATCGGAGATACTGGACTCTTGAAACATTGTCTCAAACGCCTGGTGGGTTTCAGCAAAAGAAGGCCGCTCTGCA